TCGAACCCAGCAAGCCTCGAACGAGGCAATTTTGTTTGATGATGATGATGAATTAATTGATCTCATTGAATTGAATGTTTGATTTAGAGTGAACTTAGAAGATTTGAGAGGGAGGATGCTGAGGAAGAAGATGAGGGTAAAATTGTAAATTTAATAAATTAAATAATTATATTTGTTTGATTTGGTGGTCGGGACTTTAGCCACGTCATTTATTTATTCTTGTTGGCAGTTGATGTATTAAATATTTGTACATGTCACTTTCATTCCGTCAGTTAATAAGCCACCTCAGCAAAAATTTGACGGAAGGACCAAATTGGGGTCAAAATGGTAAACAGTAGGGACCAAATCAGAGATTTATTGAGTTGAGGGACTGAATCGGGGGTCCGTACAATAGTTGAGGGACCAAAATGGGGGTTTAACCTTAAAATTAAAAATAAGTAATGTATTTATTTATGACCATAAGTTAAGTATTTAAATTGTGTTAGATTTAATATTTTTTTATTAAATATTTAAATTATGTTGGAGTAATTTTTTACAAAAATGAGGATCCGACTGAGAACCCATGCAATGGGAAAATTTTCCTGCAAAATTTCACAGCCGCAAGATGCTTCCTGTCCTTGGCCCGCGAGGCTCTACAAGAATCAGAAAAAATTGCTATCTCTATTTGGGAGTTAGTAGTAAAATAAATAAATAAAAAGTGAAAAGGATCAAGATAGTTTGAAGAATACTGAACTTATATTGAAGATAAATAATACCTTGTACATATGTGAATTTATATTTATAAAGTGAATTATTCGGATCCTATTGTCATACCTAACATTAATATTAGGCAATATTAACGTTGCATAATCTGACCGTTACTCCCTGTATAAATCTTTGACTTTAGTCGATTTACCATGGTTGTTTCTATGCCTAGTGAGATACCTTTCTCACTTGTATTAGACTCCTGTCATTTTTCTTTTGCCTTCAAAAAAACGGTGTACATTGTACAGTAGTATGTTTAAAAGACGAGATGAGGATGTAAAGACAAAGGATTCGCTAAAATGCTGAGGAAAAGGAATGTCGGTAGCACAAGTTGTTTATAGAAAATAAGTAATCACAATGAGGTAATTTTTTTATATAATTTGTATGTTATTAAATTAATAAAAAAAAATATAATACTATTAATTTTAGTTGAATAAAAAATAATTATTAATTAATATATAAAATTATAAAAAAAATTTGTCTAAAATTTTTTATTAAATTAATATAAATTACTTCAACAGCAAACATAGCAGCAACTAATTAGTTTTTTTTTTTTTTTTTGCCCACCAAATGGAAGACAAATCAACCACCCGCGTTGAAACTGAATAAAATAAAGCAAATTGGAACATGAATAAAATTATCATAATTGAAACACCCAAAACAGAGGTGGCACATGACTTCATCAATTAGTCATGGTCGGAAAGCAAAAGCCATCAATTGCCAAGAAATTTCAGCAAAAGCAAACGTCAGTGTAACATGGTCCAAATTATTGCACTTTCAAAGAACCGATGAACTTTCACATGCAAATGCAATTGAAATTGGTGCAGAATTAACCCAATTCATTTGCATTTCATTTCCTCAACTTGATGGAACGCCCTTCAAGCTTTTTTATTTTAAGTCTAGCTTGCGGCTCTCGCGGTCTCGCCTCTGCTTTGCTTCACACTGTATTCTCAACCTTTCTTTGTGTCCAAACTATAATGGCTGCCGAAATCGCCCTCACCTACGTCCTCAAACCTCTCATAGAAGGGGCACTTTCCAAGGTCGGTTCTTTTGCTGCTGATCCAATCATCATGGCATGCTGTTGGAAGAAGGAGCTGGCTAAGCTTCAGAACTTTCTCAACACAATTCAAGGAGTGCTCCTAGATGCCGAGGGCAAACAAGAAAGTAATCCGGCTATAAAGGATTGGTTACGAGATCTCCAAGATGTGGCTTATGATGCTGAGGATGTACTGGATGAGTATGCTTGCCACAATCTTCAGCGCAAAGCTGCACTGGAGGAGTCTGCTTGTGACAATCTTCAGCACAAAGTTGAGACTGGAGTCCAGAAGTTGATACAGGTGTGCACGTCTCCCTTCTTTTATCTTGAAATGGCCGGTAAAATTAAGCAGATTAATGAGCGCTTGGGCGATTTAATAGCCCGCTCAAGTCTACTTAATCTGATGGCTGGTTCAACCATTCACACTAGGCAAGCTGCTCATAACATCACAGACAGCCTTCTTGATACTTCAAAAGTTGTAGGAAGGGATGATGATCTCTCAAAAATTGTTGACTCTTTGGCTGAATTGAGGAGTCAACATCATCTGTCTGCCATTTCAATAATAGGTATGGCAGGTGTTGGAAAGACAACATTGGCAAGATCACTGTACAAGAAGGTAGAGGAGGAAAACCTCTATGATCTTTTAGCTTGGGTGTGTGTATCTGACGAGTTTGATGATACAAGAATTTTAAGGGAGATGTCAGAGCATTTTAACCGTGGTGGTGGTGGAAGGGATAGCATGAATGTATTGGCTACAGATCTGGAAAAAATTTTTAAAAAAAAAACTGTTTTACTCATTCTTGATGATGTGTGGTGCAAAGAAGCTTACAAGTGGAAACTTTTCTGCTCTCGGTTGTCAAAAATTGTTAGCACTGCTAGTATTGTCATAACAACTCGTAGTGAAGATGTGGCATCCAGAATACAGAGTGAACTTCATACGGATAAAGATAATACGCGTAAGCATTTTGTCCAGGGGCTCTCAAAGGATGAATGTTGGTCTATAATTGAGGAGAAGGTTCTTAGATCATGCCCTTCAATACCGTCACGGTTGGAAGATATTGGACGAGCTATTGCAGAAAAATGTGGAGGCTTGCCATTGGTTGCTGCTGTCATAGGAGGTACACTAAGCAAACACATTAACAATGCAGGTATGTGGTTGGATATTAGAGATGATAATGCATGGGATTCACTTTATGCAAATGAGATTTTACCTGTGCTGAAAATAAGTTTTGATCATCTGTGTGCACCTCTGAAAAAATGTTTTTCTTATTGCTCAATTTTTCCAAAAGATTCTACAATGGAAAAAGATGATCTAATTCAGCTCTGGATGGCCCAAGGGTTTCTTGGGCAATCTAATGACATGGAGGAGACTGGTAATCAGTATTTTGATGAGTTGTTATCCAACTCCTTATTCCAAGATGTGGATGAGTTGTTATCCAACTGCTTATTGCAAGATGTGGAGAGAGAACATAGGCTGGGATATATTGTATGTTGCAAGATGCATGATGTGGTGCATGATCTTGCAGTGTCTACTTCTCAAGGTGAAATTTTGATTTGGAACGCTGGTTCCACTATTGATGAGAATTCTGGTATTCGGCATTTGGGAGTTAAGTTTGATGGGCAAGGGCTTCCGAACATTCCCAGAGGTGTTGCTCAAAGGTTGCGTTCTTTGATTTGTGATGTTAATGTTTTCAGTAGCATAGCATTTGACTGGAAAAGCTTGCGATCTTTGAAATTATTAGGTTGGACAAGTACTGAGTTGCCAGCTTCTCTTGGAAAATTGAAGCATTTGAAATACCTTGATTTCGCAGAAAGTGACATCAAAGTACTACCAAAATCCTCCTCCAAACTCTACAATTTGCAGACATTAAGGTTTTCCAGGTTTTCCAGGAATGTTCTTTTGAATTTTGAAGAAACTCTTCAGAAGTTTCCAGATAGCCTTACAAAGCTGATTAGTTTGAGGCATATTTGTCACAGTTTTATTCCTCGCGCCTATGGCGTCGGTATTCGGTATTCGGCAAGAGGAATTGGACAGTTAACTTCACTGAAAACGCTGGGAATAGGATTTCATGTGGGCAAAGAAAAGGGCTACAAGATTGAAGAACTTGGATGCTTAAGCCAACTCGAAGGAGAACTGGAAATTGAGAAACTTGAACAGGTAAGATCCAAATTAGAAGCTACTGCAGCAAAGCTAAAAGAAAAGACAAAATTATATGCGTTGACATTTTCATGGGATAACTCTTGTAGAGAAGGGAACTATAATAATGCTGAGGAGATTCTAGATGCTCTTCAACCACACTCAAATTTGAAATCTTTAAGAATAAATAATTATCCTGGAGAGAAATTCCCTTGGTGGATAGCAGGCAGTGTCAATGGTTCTGGTTCTTCATTTTTGCTCAATAACCTGGTGAATTTGGAATTGTTCG